TCCCCCGTCCCCAGGCCTGGGCTAGGAGCCGGCCAACTCAGAAAATGCACCTTCTACGAGGTGGCAGGTGGGACCGCCCAGCCGAGAGAAGGGTCATCAAACCCACTCCCCAACACCTCGAAGCACCCCTCACACCCATCTCAGGGCTCTTAATCAGGACAGTCTGTGAGGTGTCAAGACAGCCATGCTCGGCTGATGCCTTTGCTCTAGCTTCCTGAAAGATCACGGTCTGATCTGGCTCCAAAGGCAGAACTTTTAGTCCTGACATGCAGGAAGCACTCCATACATGCCCTCAGATGAACACACAATCCTGGGCATCTGACACCTGGTGGGGAGGGCCCATCAAGAGGCACCTGTTGGGCTGAGAAGCTGAGAGGCCCCTCATGGCCCACCTTAGCCACGGTGTGGCCCCAAGCCACGGGAATCACAGACAGGCACCATAGCCTCTGCAGCCACTGGCCACCTGGAAGAGGGCGGGGACATGCATGGGGCTGGGGGAGCGAAGAGAGACTGCAAGACAGCCAGAGAGGGGGAGACAGCCCTCCATGTCTCCCAGAGCAGAGGAGAACTAAAAGAGATGGGAAGAGTTTCCAGCTGCAGGCTCCCAGAAGCCAGGTGCACGTGGGGCCAGGAATAGATTCCCAGTGAGTGGAGATGGAGACCCAGACGGGGCTGGGGGCGTGATGCAGATGGGGGCTCAGTGGGGCACGTCCCACCCACAGCGAGGTCCATCTGCTTCCTGATGCAGCAGGGCCCACACAGACCGAGGAACACAGGCCCTACAAGGTCAGTGAGGGACAGCTTCCAAAAGACGAGCCACATGGCCAAAAGGTGGCAAATGGGATCACCAGGGTCTCCCCTTGGGCTCCAACGGCAGATTGTGCTGGGTTCGAATCCTGAATATGCCACGAAGAGCAGGTTCCTCACCCCCCAGCACCTATAAAGCGGGCATGATGGCGGTACGTCCCCCCCATAAAGTTCTGAGTGAAAACGCACCCACCCCTCGCACCGGTCCTGGGGCTGAGTGAATGGCCAGCAGCATCACTATCCCATCACGCCGCAAGGCCAGTGCCTGGCAATTCTGACAAGGCTCCCCTGTCTCGCTGGCCTCCCAGCGTCTCCCCAACAGATACTGGCTGAAGACGACCTACGTCTTCCTCCAAAACTAAAGGGACCCAGGAAGGTGGGGCAAGCCTGACTTGCCTCCCACGCCAGGCTGCGGGAAACCCTGCTCTCCTCCTTTATAAAACCATGCCAGGCTGCGGGAACCCCTGCTCGGGAACCCCTGCTCTCCTCACTGCGACATGTATCAGCAGGATCACGGCCTTTATAAAACCAAGCAGAAATAAGGAAGCTCAGGCCCCACCAGTAATTGCACCTCAGATTAATGAGAGGGGCCGAGGGACCTGTGTCTGCCATTTATTTCACTGTCACAGGGCAGAGAAAAGACTTACAGCCCGAGTCAACACTCGGGTTGACCCGTTTATTCCATGTTTGTGAACAGGGCCGGTGGGCAGTGGTGAGGGCGGTGGGTCTGCCTGGCACAGAAGCCCTTCCAGGACGTGTGTGTGCATCTCTGTCGCTGGCACACTGGCAGCCCTGGCTGATGAGAGGGAGGGGAGGGCCACCACGCCGTGTCCCAGCTCCCAGGAGACAGGGGCCTCCCGCCCTGCTTCCTCCCATCTTTCTGCGAGAGGCAGAACACAGAGGCATCCTTTCTCCATCCTGGGAGCCCCAGCCTGAGGCACCGGCCTGAGCAGAGAGCAAAACCTCACCGGAGAAGCAGTGCAGACACTATGGCTAATCCAAGATGACGCAGACAAAAAGAGGAAACCGATGTTTCTCCTCTGCTATACAATATTCCAGGGCTCCCCAGCGCCCCGGCCTTGCATGGTCTGGCCTCTGCCCCCAAGTCACACACAATCCCCTCTTTACCTCCACCACCCAAGCCTTACCATTCTCGAATCCAGAGGTCTTACACTGGGGGCCGAGGACAGATGGACAGCAAATACGATTAAGAGCACACTTACCACGGTGAGCACTGAGTAACGCATCGAATTGCTGAATCACTCCATTGCACACCTGAAACTAACATGTTAACTACACTGCCATTATAATTAAAAACTTAATTTAAAAAGAAAAAGGGCAAACAGGAGTTGTTTGGCCTATACAGTCAATGCCTTGTTGTTGTTTTTCATGCAACCTGAGATGGAAAACTCAGGCAATTCCAGATAAATCCAGATTTCCAGCTCATCCTCAAAAATCGGCTCTGGCAGGACGAGGACCCTTGGCCAAACGTCAGCGGGGTGGACCCAGGTCACGAGCTAAGCCGGCTACAGGCCTCACCACTCCCTGCTGCCTCTCACGGAAGCTGAGGTCAAGTGTGAGCTGCCATGTACCCTCACATTTGTACTTCTGTCTTCCACAGAGTAGAGAAACGACGCTAGTCACTCATCAAACATGAGCAGAAGATTTGTCTCCAATCCTTCATTCATTTAACACCCTGGAAGCTGTTAAGACCCCTGCTCCAAAGACTCTAAAGGCACTATGCTCTCTCATACCCCAGTGCCTTTGTACCTGCTGCTCCCTCTGCTGGGGACACCCTCACTTCTGTTCTTGTCCATTGAGGAGTCCATTTTTGAGGGCCCCGACTCTATGGAGACTCTCAGACCGCTGGCATGCTATCTGGGAACCACCTATGTACTCTGGTCTATACAACCAGTGAGGAGCTCCCTGTGCCCACACACAAATATCCGATAAACAGAATTAACACCACAGAATAAAAGGCATGGCAGCCGAGACCAAAGATGAAGGACGCTGACACCCTCAACCCTCCCATCCGGGACTCGTCTGAGGATACCCCCCCTCACTAAATGACCTCAACACACACAAGTCCTCATCTCCCTCCATGCAAACATGGCTCTCCCCACCTGTCAGAACTCTTTCTTCTCCAGATCCCCCAGCCCAGCCACCTGGAGGGGCCTCATGAGCCCACCCACAGTGACCCCAAAGAAGCAAGGGGGCGAGTGAGGGCACACACACTGGGAAGACTAGCAGGAAAACTGGCACATAGTAGGTGCTCAAGAGATCTCTGATGACGGTTTTTAAATAAACCTAAAGGCCTTTAGCTCCCCTCCTATTTTGCCACAGTCCCCACCACTCCCTACTGCCTTTCATGCCTCAGCATATTTATGCTCCCTGCCTGGAATTTATTTGAGTTTGTGCTTCTCAGTCTAGAAAATTCCTGACTGCACTTCCATTTCTAAAACACCACAGCTGGGAGGTGGGAAGGATGGGGTGGCTGGGTGATGGACACTGGGGAGGGTATGTGTTATGGTGAGCGCTGTGAGTTGTATAAGACTGATGAATCACAGACCTGTACCCCTGAAACAAATAATACATCATATGTTAATAAAAATACATAAATAAAAATAAATAAAATAAAACAAAACAAAACAAAACAGCACAGCTGGGTCTTTGGAATTAAATAGCTTCAAGCCAGTAAGACTTGCTTTTACACATCTGTTAGATGGGCAATCAGGCTGGTCAACCGTGGCCACACAATGCTCAAGGAAAACCCTATCCACAAACCAGACACAGCCACCCTTCAACGCCCCAGCCAAGGAGAACCAACACTCAGTCCCAACCATTTATGCCTGAGTGCAGTGAGGGGTTACTTATTCTCCTCTCAACAAATTTGCTCCCTTAATTACATGTAGCTTAGCCAACAGGAAAGTGGGTCCACAGTGTAGAAGCACAATTCCCAGAAGGCAAGAGAGGAGAAGAAGGATGCCGGTTAAGAACCCATCTGTGGGACTCGACTGCAAAGTGCCTCACGGTGGGCACCAGGACCCCACTGGGGATGGCTGAGAGCGATGCCTCAGGACCCTGCCCTGGCCAGCCTGGGGAAGGGAAGACGCCAACGTCAGGGAGAAAAACCACAGGACCTTCTCATCCCAGGTCCCGCCACTCCTGGCCTGCAACACTCTCCCCTGGGCGCCCCAGGCCAAAGGCCCCCGGAAGGATGCACCTCCACCACCTGCAGGCAGCACCTAACGGCAGTATCCCGAAGCCGTCTGCCCGTCCAGCCCAAATCCCTCCTCCAACAGCGCAAGCCTACCTCCTCCGGGAGTCACGTGCTCCCAGCACCTGCCCTGAGCTGATTTTCAACAGCCTGGAAGTGAAGTGAACCCACCCCCTCCCTCTGTCTCCCAAGCCCTGATCGATCACCCAGGAGCCCCCTTTCACCTGTGTGCTACAGACCCCCACCATCTTCACCATTATTTGCAAAACACTGTTCAAAACCAGCTCCTTGTTTCTCCAACTCAGAGGTCAGCATTTTCTGGAAAGGACCAGACGATACATGTTTTAGGCTTTGCAGTTTCTGTCATGACTACCCTGCTCTGCTGCTATAACAGAAAAGCTGCCACAGTAATATGGAAATGAATGGACATGGCTGTGTGTCAATAAAACTTTATTCACAAAAGAAAGGGTGGGCCAACTTGGCCTAAGAGCCATAGCTTGCCAAGCCCTGCTCTAACATAAATAATCCCTCGATCTCATCCTAAACAGTGACAGCTGACAAACTACAAGTTGATGTACTGGCTTTTTTCTGTTTACAAATATGCATAAAAACAACACAAAGAAACTACAAATATTTTTAAATGTTGAACTTGTTAACCAGTCCAAGTCAGGCAGAGAACCCAGTCCTTGCTCTGGGCATGTGACCCTTTCACCACAGGGATCATGATTCACCAAGCCAGGAGTTCTAGAATTTTCTAGGCTGAGAATGGAAGTGGTCTTTCTCCTAGCACTCCTCTCTGCTGCTGGGGTAGCCTGAACACCCCCAGAGAGGGTCTCTCGGCCACCACGGAGGGGGCTCCAGCTGAGGGAGCCTGCTGCAGAACAACACGTGCAGATGGTCACCGCCCATCTTGCAAACGGCCTCGGAGCGTGCCGGGGACTGGTCCCAAGAGCCAGCACCCCGCCCCGCCTCTCACCTGGCTCTTGCCGCGGCGCCGGTAGCTCCTCCTCACCAGGCTCTTATAGTTCTCGTTCTTCTTGGTCAGGTAGTAATAGAGGACACACTCAGCCACAGTCTGTGTGACAGAAATAGAAAAATGCTCTGTCCAGTGTGGGTGGTCAGAGCCGGGGGCCAGGAGCCAGAGATCTGGGTTCAAATCCTGCCTCCTCCACACAGAGCGGGGTGCCCCTGGACAGGTCACCGTGCCTTCTCACCGGAGTAATGGGGATGCTCGGAGCACGGACTTCACAGAGCAGTCATGAAGACGGAGCCCTCAGGAACCCCTCCAGAGGTGCTACCTGGCCCCACTGTCCTTGCTGCTGTCTAACCGTAACAACGAGGTGGTCGCCTGCCCTCCCCGGGCCCTCGGGCTCCCAGCTGGGCAAACTCAAAGTCGGCCCCGACCTGGGCCTGGCTCTCCTTCCTCTCAGCGCAGCTCCTTCTTCCCGAACACCTGGGGGCCCCGAGTAACCTCTTCCAAGCTTTGTGACCCAGCCGGACTGTAATGTCCCCAAGCGACTCTTCATCTCTTGGAACATTTATGATTTTCTCTGCCCTGATCTCTTCCACACCCATCTGGGTGTGAACCCTGGTGTCACTTGCTAAGTTAGCGACTGGCCCTCCCTGGAATCCCACCACGTCCTTGCCCAAATGGGAGCGGTAAGAGGACATCCTCAAAGCAACCAGACGCAACATGGTTGTGCCTGCCACCTGCAGCCACGGGCCAACTCCAGGTGACAGCTTGCCTCAGAGGGCTGTTTCGTCAAAGCTGCTGGGTACAGAGACAGGCTGGGCCTCAAACCTCATGGCCTTTGCCACCTCCAGAATGCACGTGAACAGAGGCTATTTCCCACGTAAACCTGGCCCACACACGAGGTCCACACAGCAGTTGAGAAAATCGTCTTATCAGATGCCAGTATTTGTAAACTGGGCAATGTGGGTGTCTGACTTCCCCTTGAACAATTCAGGGGAGCGCCTTCCTTCCATGCTGGACAACAATGGGCTGACCCTAAGCAGCAGCTGTCCCTGCAGACAAGCACCGGCTGGCCGGCCCACCGAGCTCCCACCCTGCTCCAAGCCTCACTCAGAACACACCTGTCCCCAAAGGCATGGGGGACCATTGGCAATCCCTGCTTCAGACCCTTCTGGAAGCTCTATTTAAGTCCTATCCTGAGCAGCCTCTTACCAAACTATACCATAAAGTTTACTCTCCAGGGTAGAGATTCTGATTCCCCGTTCCCAAGCAATGCTGCTCAACGACCAGCTTCTGAAAACCTTGCCTCCATCCCTGGGGAGCCCTGACCTAGAGCCTCCCAGACTGTCCACACCCCCAGCACGAAGCCATCATGAAGTCAGAAGAAAGGCTATTTATAGGGCTTGCTTCCCCATGCCGGTTTTTCAGGCATGGAAAGATTCTGTTTCCCTACATCGCCCCATCTCCCTCCTTCTATGGTTATCTGCTCATTAAGGGCAGATGCTAAGGACAACTGCTCAACTTTAAAATAACCGCCTGGCTCATGCCCAGACAGCCCTCCCTCAACTGAAAAGCATGAGGCCTCCAGCAGCTGGGCAGATGCCCCATCTCTGGCAAACCTGATTCAAGGGAGTGTGGTGTAAAACACCCAGGACAGCAGCCCCAGAAGGAAACCCTGGCTGGAGCCCTTCCTACTCCATCCTACAACACCGGGGTTCCCAGCGCTGATGCCAACACACAGGGTCTCATCCAGACCCGGCCTGGCTTCCCCCACTCCAGGCACTGCCCGGCCCGACAAAGGGTGCCCAGACACTTCATGTCTACTGGCCAGGGAGGAGGTGGAGCGAAAGGGGGCAGTGCCTTGGGCTGGGTTTGGAGGCGAGGTAGGGTTCAAGTGGCAGTTCTACATGAAGGTTTGTCCAAACGGGATGGGGACTTACTGACCACACGCCTAGCTGCCATCAGGGCGTCAGAAAGCATCCAGTGACAATCAGAGAGGCCAGCCCCCTGAAAGAATGCCACTCTTGCCTATAAAGCCTTAACTGGGACGCTGGGCACAGCATGCATGGCTTCCAGAACCCATGCCCAGTCTGCAAGGACGCTCGCTGCCACGTCTGAGGAGCTGGCTCCAGGGAAGCCGGTGCACACAGCTCTCCTGGGCTTTCCTAGCCTGAGGCTCCACCCCCTCGGCCAGCAGGGGCGGGGCCTGCGACTGCTTCTCAAAGGAAGGAGCATGAGGACCGACCGAGGGGGGTTAGGAAGGAAGGACTGACAGAACAAGGGGCAAGCTGTAGGCAGGGTGGGAGGGTCCTTTGCCCCAGGGCAAGCGGCCGCCCACCGGAGTGGCCCCCAGAGAGGTGCGGGGCTGGCGGGGCGGCCGGGCTGATGGCTGGGCTTGGGGGCAGCGACTCACCTTCCTCTCCAGGAATGATGCAATCAGGCCGAAGTTCTTGGGGTGCTGCATGAACCTGTGGGAGGAGAAAGGCAGGCGTGAGGCCCGGCCACGGGGGGCTTCCCAGCTGGGCGGGCGCCGAGCACCCAGGCGCCTGCCATCTCCGCGGCCCGGCTAGGCGGGCGCCGCCCCACTCGGAGCAATTAAGCCCAGGGGGGTGTGGGAAGGGCGGGCGGGCCGAGGGTAAGAGAGGGCGTTCCTTGGAGTGAGTCACTGGTTTTAGCGCCTTTGAAAATATATTTGTTTGTCCTGCTGGAGGCGGCTTCCAGGAAAAATGAGGACATTGCATGCAGCTCTTTGGTGGGGTTCCCCCCCTTTTAAAATCTGCCTTTGTTTCTATCTCCGGCCGGGTCTGGGAAGCCGGGCCTCACCCGGCCCACGCGGGCCCCCACAGCCAGGCCCCAGGTCAGGCGGCGAGCTGCAGCTCTCCCTGGGAGAGGTGGGAGCACAGGCTCTGAGTGCCCACGAGGAGGCGGCAAGAAAGGACTTACGGCGGAGGGCGTGCGGGGAGCTGGAACCCCACCAGCTGGCTTCCTGTGAAGCCGGCAGAATTACTGGGAAAGGCTCGGCAAGGCTGAAATGTCAGGGCCATAGGAGCAGGCGGGCAGTGGGGGCGGAGATATGGGTCACGGCCGCGGAGGCCCCAGGGATGCTGGGTGGAGTCCCTGGCCGGGGCCCAACCTCAGCCTGACCGTCCCCATGACGCTCCACCGCCCCGCAGCCTCCCCCGGGGAGAGAAGGAGCTGCTGGTGAGGCGGGGTCCCCGGGTCCCCCAAGGGAGCCTGGGCCAGTGCCCGGTGCTCTCCGCCCGGCCCTCCAGATGGCTGGGCAGGAGGCCAATGGGCCCCTCCCTTCTCTCCAACCAGACACCGGAGAATCCGGAATGGCCTCTTTTCTCTTCCAGGAGGAAGCCGCGAGTCAGAGTGGCAGGCTTCCCCGCCTGGGATCCTGCCTCAGGCAGCTTGCAAAGCTGGAGCCAGCCTAATGCCCTTTTTTTCAGAGTTGCCTTCCTCCCCTCTCCCTGCCCCAGTGACATTTCCTCCCCCCCTCTAGATCCCTTCCTCGGGGTTTCCCCAAGGAGAGATGGGATCCCAGGAGACAGGGTTTCAAACCTGGAAACCCTCTAGCTCACCTCTTCCACCACCCTCCAACCTAGACCTGTATCTTCTAACAACACTTACTGAGAACTTCCTACCCACTGGGCACCTCTCAGCAGCTAAACAAGGGAGGCACTGTTGCCATACCCATTTCACAGACCTGGAAACTGAGGCTCGGAAAGGCAAAGTGGCTACTGGAGGTGCAAAGCCAGTAAGTGGTGGGGCTCTATGCCACTGGCGCATGATTTGCAGAGGCCCGAGCCCCATCAATTCTGTGGAAAATGAGGCCTTAACCAGGACGGCTCTCCCGGAAAGACTTGGGGCACGAAGCTGAGGCTCAGGGGACATCAGCCCTGCCTGCCCTGTCCCTACCCTTCTGAATTAACAATGAAATCATTAGGTGAAAAGAGCAAACATGAACTCTCCAGAAAGGCTGAAACACAGAAAACACACCAGAAACACTTTTTTTTTTTTTTTTTAAAGAAAGCATAAATAAATAAAAATATCAAACATACCAGGGGGAAGTTAGATACCTAAGGCGATGGGAATTCTTAGCATCCGTGACTGCGGTCCTTCACTAAAATTATAGCACGGCTTATACTCGGGACTTGACTCGTGGCAGAACAATCACACCTGTGACTGTGAGGACCTAGAAATGAGCCCCCAAGGAACTAGGCTTCCTGTCTCCAAGGAGTCAACCCCAAACGCCCCTGGGACCCGCTCCCTGAAGTGCTAGTCCCCAAAAACTGCTCACTCTTGGTAAGCACTCGAGGCCTCGTTACAACACCCCTCTATTTTTACGGATGTTTTAGAATTTCCATACTCAGAAGCTTTTGCAAAAAACACAACCCTCCTGCCCAGACCCTCATGGATGGTCCCCCTGCACGTCCACATCCTGGTGTCTGTGCAGCCAGGTCACGACCCCTGTGCTGCCCATGACCCAGAATCATCCCCGTCCCGGAGGCCCGCCAGGCACTCTGGACCCACAGCAAGTGGCCAGAGAACAGGGTCTCATCCCCTGGCCCTGAGGCCGTCGCCGGAGGCAGAGGCGGAGGCCCAGCGGCTAAGCAGGCAGTCTGTTTCCAGTGCACCCTCCTGGCCAAGCCCTGAGGCCACCGCTCGTGCCTCAGCTTCCCAAGCCCTCCCACCTCACAGGGGCCTGCGCCTGGCATGTGCACGGGTCCCTGGTACACAACTTCTCAGTTTGGTTGAGGGGACAGGGGTTTTATCCATTGGCAGCTCCTCATTCGTCTCCCCAAAATACTCCGGTCTTTCGGCGCTTGCCTTTTAGAAGCCCCAAGTCTGACCTCTTACCATTCAATTCCTGCCTCTTCTTTCCGAAGCTACCCTGGTCCCTGGTTCCATCTCCCTTCCCAAAAAGGCTCTCCACTGCAGCTGAGGCCCTGCCCTGACGACAGGGGAGTCTGAATCCTGCCTCCACTGTTTGTAAGCTGTGTGGCCTTCATTAAGTGTCTTAACCTCTCTCAGCCTCTGTTTCCTCAGCTGTGCAATGGGGATGGCCCGGCAATGCCGTTATGAGGGCTAAGAGGAACAGACACACAAAACCCAAAAAGCATTTACACAGTGTGTGGGATGGAGCCACCCACCAGCCTCATATCCCTGCCCTCTGGCCCAGCCTCCAAGATCCTCTGGCTTTGTTCTTCCGATACACACAGCTCCATTTTACATAAGGCTGCCCTCACGCTTTGTACTGGGTTGAATAGTGTCCCCCAAAGTTCATGTCCACCCAAACCTCCGAACGTGACCTTATTTGGAAATGGGTTCTCTGGGGATGTGATTAGTTAAGATGCAGTCACACTGGACTAGCGTGGGCCCTGTATTCAGTATGGCTGGGGTCTTGATGGAAAAAGAAGAAACCAGAGAGACACACGGGGAGACTACATGAAGACAGAGGCAGGGAGAGAACGAAGCATCTACAAGCCAAGCAACGACGAAGGTTGCCAGGAGCCCCCAGGGGCTGGGGGAGAGGTGCAGGGCGGATGCTCCCTCAGAGCCTCCGGAAGGAACCAACGCTGCCCACACCTTGACCTAGACTTCTGGCCTCCAGAGCGGAGTGAGGATAAAATTCCTGTTGCTGTGAGCCACCCAGCTTGTGGTCACTGGTCACGGTGGCCCCAGGAAGCCCGTCCACGCCTCAGCAAGAAGGGCTTCCCGGGACAGGAGAAGCCCGAGAGGGCCGCAGTGGCCGGTACCCCGGCATCACGGGACTCACTTCTCCCGGAAGGTCTCCTTCTCCTGCTCGCTCCACATGTTCATGACCTGGCGGTCTTTGTACACCTTCATGGGGTCGTCCATGAGCCCGTTCATGTTGATGAACTTGATGCGCTGCTGGTCAGCATCGTACAGCATCGGCGGGATCACAGCCAGCTGGCGCATCTGCTTCTCCAGGTTCTGGAGGGAAGAGGAGAAGGCGGAGGGCCCGGGTCAGAGGGCTCCCAAGGGCAGCCTGGGGACGGGCCGGGGAGGGCTCCTGCCAGCGGTGCGGGACCGGGCAAGGGCGCGGACGTCCCGAGCGAGAGCGGGAAAATGCCGAGCCACAGAGAAAGGGGAGGATGAGTTGAAAATACTAAGAGCCCAATGCCAGGGGGAGGGAGAATTTAAAGGCAGCCCCAGACAGGTTTATGGTGGACGGGGTCGTAAATTAAATGCGGAGAGCAGCAGTGGCCTTATCTGCAGGGAGGGCGGGGGCAATGCATCTTCCCTTTGGAAATCCAAGTGCCATAAAACACGACAGCAAAGACGTTCAGCCAGCTGGGCCAGACCAGCTCGGGAGACAGGCCTGGTCATCCAGGCTCTGAGGGCACGCAGGGCAGGGAAAGGGGCCGGTGAGACCGCGGGCCCATTTCCACCCCACCATCCTCCCCGGCCCTGGCATCCGCTCCTTCAAGCATGCCCACTTGGGATCTAGCCTGCCCGGCCCCGTGCACGGCAGGAGTCGGGCGCACTCGCTCATAATGCATCAGGATGGCTATTAAGAGGCTCTGAGCCACCACTCAGCTGGGCTCATTTCCCCAAATCTCTGCAGCCAGACCATTACTGGCGATTAATTACCCATCTGAGGAGGCAGGCAAAGGCCCAGCACGGCCATGGTCAGCTAGTTCAAAGGATCCGCTGCCTGGCCTCCCACAGCCAACCTCTCCTTCGGCGTTTGGGATTCCCAGCAGAGCACACAGCCCTGAGCCCCAGCTCAGAAAGGACTACCCCCCGCCCCGGCCACCGGAGGCCTGAGCCTCCCAGCACTTGGCACTGCCCTCCAGTACCAACACCTCTCCCGTTGTCCTCGGCTGCCCCACATGCGCACTAACGGCCGACCACGGGCCTGGTCACAGGCAGAACTCTCCCCTGGCAGGACCCCCTGCCCTGCCCTCTCGGGGTGTCTTCCTGGGCATGCACCATGACTGCCAAAAGCTCCCCACAGGGTGGGGGCGACACCTCTCCTCCCGCCCAACCCCTCCTTCCTACCCTCCCAGGGAACCTCCAGTCAGCTGAAGTCTCTGTCCTAAATACCCTTTTCCCACCACCCCACCCAACTGCCACCCCTCAACAGTCTCGGGAGGCCAGTGGCTACGTGCTCGTGTGGCCGGGACCTGGGGAAGGGGGGCCTCTGTCAGGGGGGCTGGGGACTAGGGAACCTGAATCACCTAAGACGCCACTCGCCCTTGGCCATCAGGCAGGACACGCTTGGGAAAAGGCCACCCGTCCCCGTCTTGCTTCCAAGGCAAACTGAACTGGTGTCCACACCCCTGCAGGACGGGCACACAGCCACAGCCCAGTGGGCCCGGAGCTGGAGCAAACCCGCAGGTGTGACTGCGGGCGAGGGCTGAGTTCTGCTTTCTGGGCACCGAATGGTGTTCAGAATAGGGACGTACCATGTGAAGTTTTTTTTTTTTGTTTTTTTTTTTTAAAGATTTTATTTATTTATTTGACAGAGAGATAGAGAGCACAAGTAGGCAGAGTGGCAGGCAGAGGGAGAGGGAGAAG